ATAAAACATTAGGTATAAAATCCATTACTTGACTACCTGGAAATATGATATGTTTAAATTTTACCATAAGCAATTGAAAATTTCGAGTAAGCAAAAGATTAGAGATAAAATGTCTCTCTCGTCTCGTCGAAACGAGACAAGATGAGACGAGAGACGAGAATCTCTCATATCGTGGCATCACTAAGATTAATAATTAAAACTAATATTATAACGATCTAGGAAGGTTTTTATTTGATGATAAAGAACTTTTTTCATAACTTTAGAAGCTGTGCAAAGAATACTAATAGGCCTTATATCTTTAAATTCATTTGGATTTTTTATTTTGGTAAATAAATTGGGGTTAAAAACTGCTGGGTAGAAAATACATTTTACCCAAACGGTACAAATTCAAAGGTGAATTATAATTATCAAATCGACGTAATACAAAAATAACAACTAAAACAAGTTAAGTAACTATAGTTTCTCGCAAATGTAGACAGGATCGGCTTCAGACTAAACAATGGAAAAATTGAGGAACTGATAGAACTGTTAATGATGTGAATTAAATATTTTATTATAAACGGACAACAATAAAGTATCATCTTAAGTCCAATGTTATCACGATAATAAATTATTTAGAGGAAGATTTTGTAGGCGGTAGAGAGAGAGATGATGTGGCCTTTGAAGCTTTCGTTAGTTAGTATTATCATATTTTTGATTATACTTTGACTGCAAATCATTACAAACAAATGATGAATTATATTGTCGCATGACCACCTGAGGCCGGCCCTGTTCTTTGTCGACCTTTACCGCCATCGTTATGTCTAAAAGGGCGTCCACACCGAATCAACACTGCCGATAGACTCTGTCTATCGACATTGTTGATCAACAAGTCTACAAAACTGCATCTGTCCACACCAGAGTTGACATAAAGTTTGTCGATCATTCGAAATTAACATGTCTGACGAAGATGACATTATAGTTCCTTGTACCGCATATATTATTTTCGCGATTAAAAAAAAATAACTTGCACGCAAAAGAAGATTTTGGGTTAGACCAAGTCTTCAAAGTAGAACTAGATACAACGCTAGTAATTTGATAGCATATATAAAAAAAGATGACGTTAACATATTGAGCCTTGAATACAGGCGTAATGGTTTTTGTTTTTAGAATCTCATAGATTTGTTCTCAGTTTGTATGCCTCAATAAAGGCTATGCCTTTATCTTGTTCCCATTCTATTTCTTTAACGAAAACACAATTACAATGCCAACAAGGTAAGACGTTACTGAGTACTTAGTACTAACAATTTGTCGAATGTCGAAGGTCGAAAATACATCCACACACTAAAGTCGACCGACTGCTCTTTTATGTTTACCGACAGGCGATGGAAAACAAATCGACATGTCGATTGATTTATTTTGTCGATCGACACCGTCGATTGCTGCGTACACACAAAGTCGACAACGTCGATAGGCAAAGTCGATTGACAGTGTTGATTCGGTGAGGACGCACCTTAACGCTGGCTATCGAGGTTCGACTAGAATGTTTTGCTCTATGCAGCCCGATAAGCGGAGGGAGGATTTTAGGCACGTTTCGAGATTCTTCTAGCCAGGATTGATTTTTCTAGACTATTACATTTTTGTATATAAGTGATTTATTTTGTCATTCTAAGTTTTAATATAAATGCTGTTAAGTAAAGGTTAATTGTTAAATAAATTAAAATTGTAAAATAGTGCTTAAGTATAAATAAAGTAATTAGTACTTGGTGTAAATAAATTATAAATATGCAGTTTTAAATAAATAAACTAATTTAAGTTAAACAAACATTACAATATAATTCATTTTATCCATTTTCGGTCTATCTCGAAATAGTTAAAACTGCCCGCTTTTCTATAAATATTATTTCAAATTGCATCGTGCATCGTGCAATAACCTAATAAGATAACCAAAGCTATTTACTACTTTAATCGGCGGAGAAATGTAATATTCCCAATAGAAAAACAAATAACTTCACCCCTGTATTAAATAGTCTCTCTTTAGTATCAAAATATTTAATTATCCCATCACAAAGCCAGTTACAAACACATATTCATTAAATTTATATACCACAACACAAGCTTTACGTTTACGACCCCCTAACAATACAATTGTGCCTTTTTTCCAATAAATGCAAATTAGCAATAACTATTAATGACCCCAAACACAGTCCAAAGACTGCTTTGCATAAAAGATATGCAGTTATAATCTTTATTATTTTCGTAAGTCATGTGATCAATCATTGACGAGTTTAAGTCACGTGCGTTGGTGATGTAGCGAGAGCAAGGTACGCCCACAGGGTCTTAATTTTCGCTACAAACACCCTGTGTATTGCACCGTAGGTTTCTGGTTAGGGCAGTCAATGGCGTACATACGAACTTATGCATTTTTGGGGTTAGAGTTAAATATGCTTGGTCATATTCATTTATATTAAATATATTATTTGTTAGTTCATTACATCATCATTATTTATTTAGTTACTATTACTATTAAATCTCGACTACTAAGAAGAAAATAAATTCAAAGAATACTAAGGAGAAAAGTTGCTTAAAAGATTGTCAGAAAAGAGAGGGAATTATCAACCATATAAAGATTCGCATGAGTTGACCGTGATGAAATGCACTGAATATGGTATATGTATATTATTTATAACGTTTCACAATTATTTTAATATTAAAAATTAATGGTCCTTGGAGGAATCTCTAAAAAATATTCTCTCGAATTTTTTACGAAAACTTTTTTAAATATGTTTTTTAATTGGTGAATATTATGAGCCGCTTTTAGATATTTTTATTTTATCAACTATTTCTATAAACCCTTTAGAAATGATGTTATCTACGTCTATATATTTTTCTTTCATTGACTATTCTTATTTCGATTAAAAAGCATACAATTGTATGAAATTAGTCATATATCATGTAGTAATGGTTGGTTGAACATTTATTGTTCCCCTGTGAATTATGTGTTAGTTTTTAAAAAAGTTTATGAACAAATTCTGGCCTATCAATCATATATCTATGATTTATGCTTATTTGAACAAAGTTCTTAACCTAAATAATGTCTGTAGGTAGGACATTTAATACCTTGCAACGAACATACCAGTGATTATACCCTCTCTTTTTGTTTTTTAATAGTTATGTATAAAGTATTGATAATAATTTAATAATAATGTTTATATAGCATTAATATAAAATAATATATGTATAAATAAGAAATATGCACATTTGAATTTATTACAGAACATGAGGCACTCTGTTTAAAACATCTAAGACGTATAATTAACACAACAAACGACTTACCAGAGAGAAATTTTTCTAAGTATGTAAGCAAAAATGTGTATTTTAATTTCAGCATGACTCTAATTCAGTAATTCTTAATTAAAGTAAAATATTCTTTATTTGAATCCTGGCATTCTTAAATTAACATTGCCGTGTTCAATTTTTGAATCAAAAGCTATAAATAAAAAAAAATTAACTATTTTTTAGAATGTGCACTTAAAAATTTCTAAAATAAAGATTGTGGGTGGTATGCTTGGCTCAATAACAAGCCAGAAAATGCTTATTTTTTGATTAATTTCTTTCTGTGTAACTGTAAGGATACCTTAGTAAACTGAGAGTAGTAGAGGATAGTGAGTGCAGATTCTCTGAGAAGGAGGACGAAACCTCCATTCATATTCTAACTGAATGTGTAGCACTCCAGAATCTAAGGGCACTATACCTAGGAGGATATCAAATAGAAGAGGGAGATTTACCTAACTCGAAGCCACTCCCAGATCCTACACTTCCTTGAGAAGATAGGATTGGAAGAATCGTTATAGGCATTGAGACATTTCCTTGGTGCATTAGCGACAGAAGGGGGCACAATAGATATTTTAGGTCGCAGTGTATTAACACCCCATTTCCAATATAACATAACAAGGAAGTTCGTTCTAAATTATATGAGGTCAATTACTTTAAACAGTAAAAAGGGAAAATATTACTTACCATTTTATAACTTTCAATATAAACTAGCTTTAACAATTTTGGCTATTTACTTTATGAGACTTGACAGTTTTGTCTCTTACAACTGTTAGGCAATCGTTTGATTTTAGCTTTGACTGTACTCACTGTCAGTATCAGTATCCCTTTAAAAATTTTTTTGTAGAACTCTTTGGTAAGAAAGGAAAAATATTACCAACCATTTTACAATATTAAATATAAACTAGCTTCAACAATTTTAGCTATTTATTTTATGAGACTTAACAGTTTTGTTTCTTAGAACTATTAGTTAATAGTTTAATTGTAGCTTTACGATTTTTAGCTATGACTGTATATATTGGTGGTATCATTATTACTTAACAAACTTGAATGTTTTCAATGTTTTTGTGTTTATGTTTAGCGGCTGATAAGAGAATGTTTTTATCTATTTTTGTTGCGTTTTCTTCTGCGCATCCTTTTTGTACAGGTACAAATTTCGTATTTTCAAATCATTTTAGATCGATTTTTTTTTTCTTCATAATTTTCTATATCCTTTCAGCAATATAAATATAAAGTACCATACAGTTTTGATGTTGCAAACTCCGTACCAGATGCCATTTTAATAATAAAAAAAAAAATTTCAAACCATTTTAGTATAGCTGAAATTTTAATATGATATAGTGATGCTTTCAAAGAATCTAAAATTAATTTATCATACAGATATTCTGTTGTTTTATAAGGGCCAGACCGATTTAAGTCTCGGATACATAAGGAAAGTGCAGTAAGTTATGAGTCGGTTCCGCGAGAGAAATAACTGCGACAGGAAGCGTTAGGAGAGAGAGATAGAAAAATATTTGAAATAAGGTATTTAATAAAGATTAGAATTTAATCGCAGAATGAATAAAATTAAATGAAAAATTTAATAAAACATGGTATTTGCAAAATAAAAACTCAATTTTTTATTATAAATATTTTCTCAATCACATACAAATTATAATTAATTATATTTATTCTATTATGGTGTCATATTAAAATAAACCATCTTCAAAGTCATCATCATCATCATCGTCACTACTTTCATTGTGATCATTGCTTTCATCATTGTCAGAGTTGTCTTCAGGTATATCGTTGTTTTCTAAAACTTGACTGTACATTAAAATACTAATTTAATTAAGGAATGTAAGTAAGTCGTTACGTGTTTAGTAAATTTTTTTTATTAATATTCACCTTGAACTATAATAACAGCAACCAATGACGGTAATTGGTCTTCAAGGAACCACACAAAGTCATATTTGTGGTCGTTTATTGTCCAACCGCAAGCTAGTGGTAATAACTACGTGAGGTATTTTAAGTAAGCATTTCTCCAAAATTTTGTCATAAGCAAACTCGTAATAAATGTTGTTGTAATTAGACTTTACAAGGAGGAAGGATTGAAGGATCCAAATTTTTTTTTTTTTTCGAAATTTTTGGATCGATAAGTAGTAGAAAATAAGTGAAATCTAACATCATTGACATTGCTACCATTACGAATTCCATACATATGACAAACAAATTTCTCCAAGGTGACAAATGCATCCTTTAGTATTTCTTTGTCATCGGTAGTAAGATTTTAAAATGCTAATTGTTAATATACCGACTCTTTTAATAATTTGAAGGCTTGCAATTGCCTTTACGGTAAAATGCTGGTGCGTAATCACATCCAGTCATTGCGTGAAAACCCGGTGGAGCTTTAGATATAGTTAATCCAAAGTTTTAGGGAAGCACTTGGTCTATATTTCCAAAAAGTATTAGTAAAATATCAGTCTGAACACCTAATAACATCGTCAGCCTCAAAATAAATTTGGCAAATGTGATATATAATTCTAGAATCTGCTTCTTTCTTCGTGTTCTTCACATGATAATAAATCATCTTTGGTCATAATTACCTTGCTATCTACACTTGATAGCAGTAACACTGCTTTAAACTTAAGTAAATTGTTTTATTACCAATCAAAGGTGCCATGTCGTCAGTAGACCAGTGGTTAATAAAAAATTTAAAAAGAGCTTCTTTGAATTGAATATTTTTGAGCTGACCAGTAAAGTCATGAGGTCGTATTTGGTTAGGTCCAATCGAAACTGGGCTGGCCGATTCATTCCTACGTGTACGCTCACAATCTTTAATTGAGGGTGTAAAATATTGATAAAATATAATGTTAATGCGACTTGCTTTAAATTGAGTTATCATGCTGAGGACCTTTTAAGATAACCCATTAAAGATTTGAGTTGCTACTTTCATTTGTTGTAACATGAAGAAGCCATCTAGTATAGCTATGTCGAAACACAACGGATGCTCATTGATATTGTCTTCCATTGTTTTCGCGATTATTTTGACTAACTGTGCTTTTCTGTTTTACAAATAGTTCCATGAGCATGACACATGGATGTTGGCAAAGGCGTAAGTGGGAATGAAAGTATTTTTTCAATATCAACCTTATGGTTTAGAGATATTCCCAACATTCGACCAAATATGTCTCTTTGCATTCTCAATTCAACGACTTTATTACCAAAAGTGAGTTTTTCGGTTTTCAGAGCAGCAGCAAAGTTAAACACTCGATTTTTTTAATAGATTTGTTGAATCTCTCTTCATTATCAGCACATTCGTTGATAAACTGTTTTCTTAAAATATATATATTCTTTTCAATATTTAGTAAAAATTTAGCAACATCTGTAGTAGTAGGCTTGGCAGTAGCGATATTATGAAGATTATATCGATCTAAATTTGAATAGAATGAATTAAAATTGTTACTTGTTTTGCATAAATTTTTATTCTATTAGGTTTTAAATCTTCAGTAACGTCTTATATTGTTTTAACACACAAACATCAAGAACATAAGAAATTAACGCAACTCTAATGCTGTAGCTTTTTGTCCAGCGCTGACGCTGAGTTAGTAAAATGTGAAATTCCACTTAATCGTCTAGCTGCATTAGCATTACTAGTTTGCTCCGATGTAAGATCTATTGGTCTTCTTGAAAAAGACTTTTCGGTTCTTTTAATTCCAAAGAAACATTTCTTAAAATCGTCTTCAAGTCCTGGGTGCGTTTCGTTCAAATATTAATCACACAATCGAGCGTAGTTTTGTTGATTAACCATAAGTAACAAATTAGTTATTTTAGGAATTATATATTTGAACATCTCAAAATCACCCATGCGTATGCTTCTTAATAAAGTAACGTAATAATTGACCAACTGTATATAAATCATGAGCTGTTTTCCCATGATCGCCTCGCAGTGTCGGATTTACATATTGTTTGTATAAAGAGTTCCTCTGACTTAATTGAGGGTAGAAGATTTGTCTTGGTACTCTAAAAGATCGTCGTAAATCTGCTCTTTGAGAAAATAAAATTCAGTATTTTTAGCTATGATTTTAGTTTCAGTCATCACATGAGACAATCCACACTCATTTATAAATGTTCCAATTGATTTAAAAAAGCCATCATTAGGTGAAATGCACATGGACGTATAAAAAGATTATTGAATCGAGGCTGCTCTACTGCTTGTATTTTTAATGCATTTTTAGATATTGCCAAGTCATAAGTGACTTGTACAAACGTTTGATTGCATTCTTGACCTATTGCTTGGGCCTAGCTGTTCCATTGTATTTACCACAACAGCTCTACTGGTAGGTGATAGATTAATGGGTGTAAAATATGAAACTCTTTGTTTTAAGCTATTATCTAGTAGTAGCTTACAATTGAAACCTGTCCACATTGAAGAAATAACATAAATAAAAATGTAAGACCAGGTGAAGCAGATCAATTGATTGCATTAATGTAAAGTTTTTTGGTAAATTAAATTGATTTTCCTCAACCAGTTTTAAACTTCCAGACATCCTTAATCATTTAGCATGTAGAAGGATATCGAGAACAATAGCATCAAAGGTTCTTCTTCTTTTTTTTTTATGGTCCTGGCATTATCCACATTCAATTCTTCTTGGGCACGATTATCAATATTTTGATATATTATTCCAACAGTGTCGGGTAAAGTTTCTTTTTCATTTAGGGTATCGACGAATCTATCAAAATTATAGAATGCCACACCTGTACATATTAATGGAGAACTTATTTGTGAACAATCAACAGATGCTACAATTGCTTCAGTTTTAAATTCTTCCAGGGTGTTATAGTTGTAGCAATGTCCAAATCTATTTAAAATATTAATAAGTTTTCGACTATTTGTAAGACTTTTTATAGTCAAACCAAGTGTTATGTGTTTAGACGGTTTAACAGTTCCACTATTGATACAAAAAATAGCGTCTGAGGCCATTGAATTAGTCAATCTGTCACAATTGATACCATCTCTTTGACGAATATCTTTACCTCCAGTCAAGACTTTATAAAACCTTTCCAATTTCTCTGGAATGGAACACTCAACATTAATTAAATCCTCCGCCTTAATTTTTGATTTTAACTTAAATTTATTAATAATTAAAATCGTTTTTCGTAGGATTAATGCTACCTTTTTAATACAATCATTCTCTTCAAGATCTGTTAAATCGGTTTATTTTATAAAATTGCTATTCATGTGCATATTTTTTTTTATTTTTCGTTTGAATTTTAATGGTTTCTGGAAATTTTTTTAATATTTTATATTCAAGATTATGATGAGTTATATAACTTGATTCCGGTAAAGATTGTTGTTTTAATTCATGCTCCAAGTTACTATTGTAAATATCACAAAGCGATGATAATAGCAAGCAACATTCTTTTTTACAACTTCTGAATCAATTAAAAACATAATATTGTCGAAATTTTTTTTGTGATAATCTCTGATTGCATGGCATGTAGTACATAGATTATCTTTAATTTTTTTATTTTATTGTAGTTATTCGTATATGCTAATTCACATAAATGATGGTAAAATACACTCCCACCTGCAGATTTTATAGCATTAATTTTTTTTAACAGTTTATCATGATCTATTTTTGTCATCCATTCAATTATTTTTTCATATAGATTTTCATCTTTTGAAGAATGTAAAGTTTGCTGTTTTTCTTTAACTTGCTTTCGGTCTTTTTCGCAACTCTGGAATTTTATAAAAGGAGTCAATTGCTAAATCAATTGCAAACGTATTTAGATCGCTATTATCAACGATATGAGTAATATATTCTTGAGTAGTATAACAAACATTAATTGGAGAATTTAAAAATGTTGGACAAGATGTAGGTACTCGGAGATTTAATCTGCAGTATAGGACTTGGATAACGATATTTAGACATCAAGGATGTAAAACTGCTACAACACTGTCTATGGTATCCATCAGTATCATTATTACTGTCTGGTATCCTAACATTTTTATATTTTAAATTGAATATAATGTGTGAATATAAAATGTTTACACACTTATTCAGTTTTTCATCAGTAAATATGATTTATTTCTTCAGTTTTGTCTTCAATAAAAAACACTTTTTTCTTTTCCGTTACTCATCATGACGAAATTTGGCTTTACCCTTTGATGAACACAACTACTAATAACACACAAACATTGAGATACTCTTCTACACCGCCTACTATCTCCGAGACTCAAATCGGTCTGGCTCCTTATTATACAACTGGATTTATGTATGGCAAATTAATTTTAAGTTCTTTGATAGCATAACTATATCATATTATAAAATTACAGTTATACTAAAATGATTTGAAAAATATTTTTTAATTACTAAAATAGCATCTGGCACTAAGTTAGCAACGACAAAACTGTATGGCACTTTATATTTATATTGCTAAAAGGATATAGAAAATTATGAAGAGAAAAAATCGACCTAAAATGATTTGAAAATACGTAATTTTTACATGTGCAAATAGGATGCGCAGAAAAAACGCAACCACTCACAGCAGCCAGATGTGCCGTATCCCCACCAAGTTTCAATAAGAAAAGAAATATCAAAAGACCAGCTGACTTAAAATACTTTTTTTCGCGACGTTGCCAGCTCTTATACTAATATTTTTTGATTAAAATTTTTAGTGGTTATATTTTATAGGATAAAGATTCTTTGTCTAACAATTCACTTTCTTTACATGATTTGTGATTCAATGGTATTGCTATACATTTGTTTGTAATATTGATTTTACGAGTAAATGCAGGACAAAAGAAATAATACTTTTCTATTATAACTCAAAATATTAATCGATCGTTTAATGGATATGTTTTGTAACATTTTGTAACTTTTTTTAAGCCGTACCTATCGGAATTTAAATAATTTTGTTTCACAATTTAGCTAATTGGATATTTTAAAATTCTTAATGTGCACCTACTTAAACATTATATAAGAATTTGTCGCTAATACAACCTTACTATGAATATTTCAGATTCCAAGATCTCATATTGAATTAATTTTGTAATTAATATACAAAATTAATAGAATTCTTGTTCAAGACATAAAATAATGATCTCAATGGTACCGATAACAGTACAAAATTTGTTATAATAAAGTTATTATTCTCCGTCATATCTCGATATGTAAAACACATTTTAATATCAGAACGAATACGATTATATAAAGCGGAATGACGTGGAACAAGTTAATCGGAATTTGAACTGGGTAACAAACGACCTGATGAAAAATTAAGCCTTGTAACAACTCATTCATTCTTGGTTTATATAAATTGCGCTCATTACGAGATGGTACCTCGGTGGGCAGACGGAGAACACGAAGATCATAACCAAGATTAATATATTGTGGTGTCAGAAGGCACAAAGCACGTACACAAATGATCCCATCAGGAACCATGTCACAAGCTACGTTTACACTATATTTTTGCTCCCAACGACGTCAAAAATACGTCTTTCAAGGAAGACGTCATTTTAATATATGACCAGTTATAGTATGCTATTTATTACATATTAATTGAATATAAACAGTGACTATGAAGACTAGAGAAAATGAGTCGAATCAACAATGGCAAAATTTCAAATTTCCGCGATCATGTTTGAAAATTCGTTTAAAAATTCCCATTTTGAAATTTACAGATAACCAACAGCAGTAGTCAACTTTGATATGGACTATTTAAAGTTTTTAATAAGAAGAAGTGATTATCCGTTTCGTTCCAATCGTTATATTAAAAAAAATCCGTTTTGGATCTTTATGTATAATAATTTACTCGAATACCTGGAATTAGGAGATTTTTGGTGAAACTTTATTTACCTTCACGTGTGGTTAAGAAACCAAGTCGTTTTGTTAAGGAGGTCCTTTCGCCACCCCTTTCGCCACCAATGTTAAATAAAAAATATTAGATTATGACTAAAATTTATTTTTTTTCTAATAGTTGAAGTCCTTATTTATCTAATGTTGAACTTTTAACTATACCTTACCGTGCAAAGTTTTGAGATTTTTTTTTTAAAATGTGAGTATTTGTACAATGTCTTACGAGAAAATAAGACCTCAACAACAATTCTCGAATTATATTATTATTTATTGATTAGATGGAGTAGAAAAAAACTAAAAATAGGGTTTTTGAAATATTTAGGTTTTGTTTTTTACAATAAAATATATAGGTTACCTTGGAATTTATTGAGAAATTAATATTAAAAAAAAAATTGAAGTAACCTAGTTGAAATTTTTTTAATATTAATTTCTCAATAAATTCCACGGTAACCTATATATTTTATTGTAAAAAACAAAACCTTAATATTTCAAAAACCTTATTTTTGGTTTTTTTCTACTTCATCTAATCAATAAATAATAGTAAAATTAATTATAATTCGAAAATTGTTGTTGAAGTCTTACTTTCTCGTAAGACACTGTACAAACACACACATTTTAAAAAAAAATTCTCAAAAATTTGCACAGTAAGGTATAGTTAAAAGTTCACTATTAGATAAATAAGGACTTCCACTATTAGAAAAAATTAATTTTAGTCATAATCTAATATTTTTTATTTAACATTGGTGGCGAAAGGACCTCCAAGATATTATTATACTCGTATATGGTAGTTTTAGTTCGCAATTCATTTGTAATAATAACCGAGAATACCGATCAAGGAGAAGCGACAGTAGCTGGCGGTGCCTTTGATATCGGATGGACCTTTTTCACAGCATTACTTTGATTAATACACAACTTAACACGCTGAGAAAACATGCTTATTTTCTACACTGAGCGAAATAGTTTGGCAAATCATTGTTATAGTCCATGCGCAAATGTTGTAATGTGATTTAATTACATTGAAGTAGTTAGGGTTAATAGCAATGGTGGAATTTCGACACCAAAATATAATTCAATATGTAATAATTAATTGTTTGTTATAAAAATAAGGTAAATAAAATTAAGGGTACCAAAAAAAAATTAGGTAACAATTAAAAAGACATTAAGTTTGAGAGATTTAACAAAATATTTGCAACGGGCATATACTTTCAAAGCTTTTAGGTTTAAAAAGTACTTACATATTTTTAGAATTTCTGGATTTATATTATATTAAAAGAACTTTCAAGTTTATTACTCATTTCTATAGAAACAAGTGTTTTCTCGCAAATATGAGCCAGATGTTATTTAAGATTTATGTATTTAGAGTTAAATAAACAAATATGTCCATTGGACGTTCATTCGATATACAATTTTGGATGTCTAGACGTCCAAAAATTAGTTTCTTCTGGACTTCCGACATCCAATGGACGTCCACTGAAGTATACAGATGGCACACTTTTGACCTTTCAGAGGACGTCTAATTCTCGAATATATTTAGACGTCGAATACTGGACATTCAAAAAATGTCCAGGATTATATTTCCATTGAGACCACATCCTCACTTTTTTTACAGAACCGCAACTCATCACACACTATTTTATATTATTAATAATTTGCTTATTATTTTCGCAAACCGCTATACACCATTTATTTTTTTTTTTTTAATTAAAGATCGCTTTACCTGAGCAGGAATCGAACTCACGGCACATCTTTTATCATTTTACGCTTTCAATCGCTGGACGAGCTCGATCAAGGAACCACTTTTTACTGGATATAGTTATAATTGAATAAGGTTTCAAACTTCCGCTGATAGAATGAAATGCAATAGATTCAATTTGTCAATTTTTAATGACCAGTTATAATAAAAAAAAAGAAGTGTAAATAGATAGGTTTTATCTGGTTAGCTTAATAAATAGTAACCCAAGATGGACGTCCACTGGACTTTAAAATACTACTAAGCTTAAAATTAAGTCCAAAAACAGACGTTCTCTGGGTATCGATATTCAGCAGTCAAATTAATTACAAATTAAACGGACGTGCACTGGATGCCCGGATATAGACCCTCAAATAGATCTAAAGTGGAAGTCCTGTAATGAAGTCAATTTTCCTCAATCAATTTATTTTCATTTTTCATTTTTAATAAATATTAAACGCGGATGTAATGAAGTCAATTTTACTCAATCAATTTATTTTAATTTTTCATTATTAATAAATATTTAAACGTGATTAA